CAAAGGGCCACCCATACCCCTTGTTTGGCTCTAAATTTGTCTTTTTATTGCTTTATAGTATTAGAAGAAAGAGGAAAATTATATCCTTTAGCTTATTTTCATGTTTTTTTCTTATTTTCCACTCATCCCTTGTGGCACACTCTGATCAAGAATAAGGCCATTTAATTTCACCAAAAAGAGTATTTCAATGAGGGGCCAGGATTAAAGACCAAAGATTTAATTGATTATGGTATTGGGGGGGTTGTCATTGTGCCAAATTGAAAGCTGTCATTTGAATTTGTCAGACAGGTATTCTTAAAATGAAAGAAGTAGATTAAGGAAAAAAGAGGGGAGGCCATTAAAGGTTCTCTTCTGAGATAACCCTTAGAACAGAAAGAAAACTGCTAGGACTGAGAGTCCTCAGAGTGGAATCTGAGATACACAGATATCTCCCCTTCTCTTTCAGCAGCCACAAAATTTCTTATTTCTGATGTCACCTTTATTTCTTAATAGTCTCTTGCTGCAAGAGACTCAGCCCCTGGCAGCTCTGGATTAATTTTCTAAAGTCTTCAAATTGCCCTATATCCCTATAAATGTGTCCCTGCATTCCCCAGATCTGAAAATCTCAGGAAAGATTCTTACTAGCTCAGCTTGGGCAGCACTCCCAGTCTTTGAACCAATCATTTGGCCCAGCAAGTACAGTTCCTTTATTGACTAAACCTGTGTGCAGAGTGTGGACTGCCGTGATTGACTGTTCCCATCATCCCAATCTTGTTGCAAACAGCAAGCCATGAACCATTTGTGAAATAGGATACACAAGAAAACAATAGACAAGGCAGGGCTCGGTGGCTCATGCCTGTAATCCTAGCACTCTGGGAGGCCGAGGCAGGAGAGGCAGGAGGATCGCTTGAGCTCAGGAGTTCCAAACCAGTCTAAACCCTGAGCAAGAGTGAGGCCCTGGGGCAACACTGTCTCCAAAAAAAAAACAAAATGGAATAATTTAGAATAATAATCTCAGAATCCTTCCACAATAGTATATTGTTTTTGAAAACTTTTGTTTTAGCTGTGGTTATTTGGGTATATTTCTGGGTATGATTTTGGTCATGCAATAAAAGGTATTTTCTTTGTTTTTCGAGAGAGTCTCTCTCTGTTGCCTGGGCTAGAGTGCCGTGGTGTCAGCCTAGCTCACAGCAACCTCAAACTCCTGGGCTCAAGCAATCCTTTTGCCTCAGCCTCCCGTGTAGCTGGGACTACAGCCACGCACCACCATGCCCGGCTAATTTTTTTTTTCTGTATATTTTTAGTTGCCCGGCTAATTTCTTTCTCGAACTCCTGACCTCACGCTATCCTCCCACCTCGGCCTCCTCCCAGAGTGCTAGGATTACAGGTGTGAGACACTGCACCCAGCAAAAGGTATTTTTTTAATGTTTGTTGCAATAAAAAATATTTGAAAAACTTTGAGCTGTGCTGCACAGTTTGTGTATTTGAATTCTATCAATGCTGATGTTCCCAGCTTAGATGTTTGATCTTTTGCATAACAGACCACGTTAGAGCATGATTGCTCACTTAATCTCTCTGCTGTTCATTCACCTACTTTAGAGAGTAATCACAGGTACTTATTTCCCTTCTGGGCTTTAAGATCAAGCCTATGTGTCCTTGCTTATTCCCAGTTTCATCTGTCTTTAATCCCCTTCCATGCTCCGCTTTTCCACAGTCTAATTACAATGGAATATTGCCATTTCTTTTAATAAGTGTTTACTTTGACTTTCTGAATTCATAAATGAAAAACAGCCAATGCTCACTAAAACAGTCCTATTTTATTTTACTTATTAAAATGCCTTCCCATGTAATATAATTTGCATGAATTGAAGATGATAAATTAACACCAGCATTTTGAAGCAGGTGTAATTATTACATTTAATATAAGTGAGTTACTGAGATGGTATTTGTTGAAACTTGACCACAGCTCCTCCTCTGAAAGTGTGGATGGCTCTGAGGAAAACTGTTGATTTCCAATGCAATTATTTGCCAGTTAATTGTGGGGCATTACCCTACAGATGTTGCTTACACTTGATTTTATTTTCCTTCTACTAGTGCAGCAGAAATGTTTTAATATCACTTTTAGATATTTGTCTAATATTCTAGAATAATATTAAATAATAGTAATAAAAAGTCCTCTAACAAGACTAATGTTCCACTAAGAAACAAAAAATTATCCACCTAATAATATTAGCAAAGGCCTTTTAAGCATCTACTGAGTTTAACGTAAGATTTATTCTTTCTTTAATTTTATATAGTGAATTAAGTTTGCCTTTTACTAAACATTCAAGCATCCTTACATTCTTAGATGCATTCTTGTCATTGTTAATTTTTTAATGGGCTTCCAGAGTTGGTTGTTTATATTTAATGGAAGATTTGTGGATACTTATTTATAACTGAGAATGTGCTGTATTTAGTAGCATCCTTTCTTCATTAGATTTTGTCATATTTCTTAAAAACTACAAATGGAAGTTTTTCATAATCTGGAATCATTTTATTAGCTGTAGATCTATGTTCTCCTTAAAAGTCTAAGAGGAAACCTGATATATGAGAATGTTAGCTCATTGATAATGTCAATTTTTTTCATTCTTCTTAGTCCTGCTTTCTAGGTTCGATTTCAGCAATTTATATTTTTTCAGGAACTCTTACATTTCATCAGTATTTTCAAATATGTTAACATAGATTATTAAAAACTGTGTCCTTGTAACTTTAAACAATTCCTAATTTTTTTTCTTTTTTCTAAGTGAAGTTCCCAAAAGGTTTAATAATTGTTTTCAAGAAACAACTCTCATATTTATTCAGTTCTGTAGGTTTGGGCATAATTTTACAGATACAATCATTATTAAGAAAATAATTTTTAACATGAATTTTAAAAGAAGTTTTGAGTTTGTTATAAATGTGCAGATTTTTGTTTTGCATTGTGTTTAGAAAATTCTGGCAGTTTCATTTTTGTCCAGTAATTTTTGTAATTTGGCTGCTTTACTGTTTTTCAGTTGTTTCCATGGTGTTTACCAATACACAGCGTTAAAGGCTCAACAAAGTATTTTTCCTCATTTTCAGTGGTTAGAATTCAGTGCCTAATATTCCTGAATAATTGATGATAAAAAAAGCGGCCTTGTCACATTAATGATTGTATTTCACCATCAAAAAGGCATTACACTTTGGTTTGAGATATAACCTACACACTAAAATATAAACAAACCTATTATTCATTTGTACTAGGGCTTTCACATAAGGTATCGAATATTTGTACATGCCTTTTATCTTTTGGTTTATTAACATGGCTGGGTTACAGATTTCAGTATGTATAACCATGGTAGAACTCTTGGAAGAAAATTCTTTGCTAGAAGGTACTTGAGAAAACGTGCAGCCTAGATCTGGTGTCCCCCCCGCCAATCCACCTTCAGCAGATGAATATGGGTTTGCGTCCTCTTAGGGACTGGGCCACAAAGCTCCACTGGCACCCCCACTCCTGCCCCACCCACCCCCTCACTCCCTGTTCATGGAAAAATTATCTTCCAGGAAACTTAGGAACCCAGCTGCACAGCAGGAGGTGAGCCATTGTCGAGGAAGCTAAGCTTCCTCTGCATTTACAGCTGCTCCCCATCGCTGGTGTCACCACCTTAGCTCCACCTCCCCTCAACCCATCTCCGACAGTGGAAAAATTGTCTTCCATGAAACTGGTTCCTGGTGCCAAAAAGGTTGAGGACGGCAGGCCTAGATGTATGTTTAGATATGCTTGCTTCTCCTTGACTGATGTTCTGTAGGCATCGCTCTTCTGAGCTGTGCTGCAAGTTTACAAACCTTCGTTTGCTTCTAATCCAGTCATTATTTAGTCTAACTCTACCCTCAGTAAAATACATGCCCCAAAATGGGATTCTACATATTCACATTCTTTTTCTCAGGAATTATGTAGGTTGTCACAACAATGTCTCAGTCTAAATTGGCTCCTTTTCCCAAGGATGGCATTTCCCCTATCAGGAGCCTGCTAAGGTGGTTGCCCTACCTACCCTACCTAAGTAGGTGCTGAAACGGTTCCGAGATCATGAGTTCACCTGTCAATATTATTGGACATCAATGTGAACTACTTCAGATATTCCAATCACAAGAACTAGATACTTCTGAGAGTCCTGTTTATTCAAATTGTGGTCAATTAAATCTGTTGTTGCTGAATCATTAGTTATTGTTCTTTGTAAACCTTAGCTTTCTCAGAAATTTTTAGTGGCTTTGAAGAGCCCTTGGTTTCAACGCTTTTTTTTCAGACGTTAAAGTCACTCTTGGAGTTTTATAATTTGTGAGGTTGTTCGTACTGGACTTTGTGACAGTGACTTTCAACCTTTTGGGTGGCAGCATGGCTTGGATAGATGTTGGGCATGACACCACCCTAAGGAATAATAATGCCACACGACAGCTTATTGAGCTCTTAATTGATGCGGACAGCTATTAGTGATGCGAGTTGATGCACATCTTCTTGTGGCGGGCTGTGTTACCCACTAGCTCCAAGATCTCAGCGATCAGGTACTCCAGCACTGTTGCGGAGTACACTGGCGTGCCAGCCCAAATGTGCTAGGCATAGCTGCCCTTAAAGAGCAGACGGTGCACAGCCCACGGGAATCTGCATGCCAGCTCCGGATGAACCAGACTTAGCCTTAGCTCCTGCCTTTCCCCACTGCTTCCAGTGCCCAGACATAACTCAAGAAAAAGAAGCCGTTATAACAGAAAAAGAAACAGTTAGGACAGGTGCTCGGGTTATTTATAGTCCGACAGCAGATTGTCGTTTACTATCTGATTGGCTGATAGCTGTCTATCCAATCAAAGAACCTTACCGTTTTCACCTCATTTACATACACTCCACCACCCATTATCCAATCAGATGTTGGATGCCAAAGACGTCATTTGAGAGTCTTGCCTATAAATACCACACTTCTCTCTCCACTAAATGCCATTTATTTGTTGGCTTCGGATTGAGCTGTATATCAATTATGCCGGAGCTTCCTTCAAAAGGTGCTACTATTTCTAAAAAGGGCTTCAAGAAAGCTGCTACCAAAACTCAGAAGAAGGAGGGGAAAAAGCGCAAGAGATGTCGCAAAGAGAGCTATTCTATTTACATCTATAAGGTGCTGAAGCAGGTTCATCCAGACACTGGTATTTCTTCCAAGGCCATGAGCATCATGAATTCTTTTGTCAGCGATATCTTTGAGCGCATCGCCAGCGAGTCCTCTCGCCTGGCACATTACAACAAGCACTCGACCATCACTTCCCGGGAGATCCAGACGGCGGTCCGCCTGCTGTTGCCTGGAGAGCTGGCCAAGCACGCTGTGTCTGAGGGTACCAAGGCTGTCACCAAGTACACCAGCTCCAAGTAAAATGATCCAGCCACTAACTAGATGAGCTTCGTGAAACAAAGGCTCTTTTAAGAGCCACTTACACTTACTAACAGAGCTGTAAGCTGCTTATGTGGGTGTTTTGTTTTATGTGAGTGGGCCTCACTGCTAAAGTAACTGATTCAGCTAGCAAGTATATTCGCAGTGTTTGGTAAGTTCACTTTTTTCTCACTATGATAGGAAAATAAACAGAATAGATAACTTGACTATCTTTTAGTTCTAAACTTCACACTAACTGAACTTAGAAATAATTTATGCAAGTCAAAAAAGGGAACCCTATGAAAGAAGCAGGAATAACCCCTGGGTCATGTTGTTACAGCAAGTGGTCCCGAGGACAAACGAGCAGCACACGGAGAGTCGGAGAATCAAATGTTATTTGTCGGCGGGCTCAGAGGGGCCTCGCCTCCAAACTCTGAGCCACGCCACCGTGGATAAATAAACTTTGACTCTCCGACTCTCCGTATGCGGCTCGGTTTATCTTCGGGACCACTTGCTATAATATTTTGGTTCCCTGACTGGGAAAACTGAACATGCTGGCCCCTTGAAGCCACAGGTTCGGAGACTGACACAGCGACCGGCGGGACCTCGGCAACAGAAGCGAACGGGCGCCAACCGCCATTTTGCGGAATATCTTCGCTCCTCGGGAGCTCCCGCCGGCCATGGGGTCCCGCCTGGACACACTCGAGGGAAGGACAAGTCAAATCAGGTCTGGAGACATCGGACCAGATAAGGTCCCAGGACCCGCCTGAGTCAGGCCCGTCAGATGACGGAAGAGGAGCTTGATCACCTCCTGAGTGCAGGAAATTCCCAGGGTGGGACTATGTAACCTCTGCCTGTCTGAATGCGTGAGTGAAGAGTGACTGTGGTACCATGGCTACAGCTAGGGAACATGAGTGGGTCCTCACCTGCGGTTCTGCGGCCGCGTCATCCGGCATAACAGTGATTCACTTCCCTAAAGGGGGCGACCAGGCCCAGGGTTTATACAGGCACACCTTCGCTGAGACGCGCCTAAGTTCCCGTGAAGGGCACAGCCAGGTGGACACCTGAGAGAAATCCCCCCTTTGTCTGTTAAGCTGCGACAGCATTCAAGGGTCTAAAATGGGTGACATAAAATCTAAGCCTACAGTTCTTAAATACATGTTAAAAAAATTTAAAAAGAGTTTCACAGAAAATTATGGTGTCATGCTGAGTCCCAGTAGACTAGGGCCCTCTGTAAACACAAATGGCCCACATTCAGGGTCAACTGGCCCACAACAAGAACCTTAGACCTCCCCACCGTGCAAGCAATTTGAAAAATTGTGACTGGGACTCCCAGCCACCCCTACCAATTCCCTTACATAAATTCATGTCTAGAGATTGCTCAGCCCATGTCCCCTTGGGTCCAATTCTGTGCTAATAAAGCACAGAGCAGGATTTTTGTGGCCCAAAAGACCAGAGACTCCAAACTGTCCAAACCCATCTATCAGGAAGCTCCTGAAAAAGATCCACCATTACCACTCTACAACCCTACCGTGACACCTCCTGAAATACCCTCAAATCCACTAGACACCCTGCCCCCGTCAGTCTCCCCGCCACCAGTTCCGGACCAACCTGGTGCCGAGACTCCTATCACCTGCCTGCTACAGTCAACTCAGGCCCCAACTTCAGCCCTCCAGATGCCCCTATGTGAGGTGCGAGGTCCTATACAGGTTACGGACAATGGGTCCGTTCAGCCAGGTCAGCCAGTCCTGTACTATAAGCCCTTCTCCACCACTGACCTTCTGAACTGGAAGCACCACACTCCACCATACTCTAAAAAATCTCAGGCCCTCATTGACCTCCTGAAATCCATCTTTCAGACCCACCATCCCACTTGGGAAGACTGCCGCCAGCTCCTTCTGATCCTTTTTAACACGAAAAAACAATGCCAGATTATAGCTGGGACCCGGAGGTAGCTCCAGGACCAGGCTCCAGCAGGGACTTTGGACATGAAGCAGTGGACACAGAGAACAACACCCAAGACCAGCCTGGATTGGGATTTCAACTCCCCAAGCGGACGAGAGACACTTAAAAGATATCAAAAAACTCTCCTCCACGGGGTCCGGGAGGGAGCCAGAAAACCAACCAACATTAACAAAGTCACTCTGATCACCCAGGAGCCGGAGGAATTACCAAACAAATTCTATGAGTGCCTTTGTGTGGCCTACTGAGTCTACACAATCCTTCGACCCAGAGGCAGCCAAAAATCAGCAGATAATAAATGCCACATTTGTTGGGCAGTCCCACACTGACATCAGACGGAAACTCCAAAAACTTGACGGGTTTACAGAAATAAACATCACACAGCTGATAAAAGTGACCCAGAAGATCTATGTTAATCGAGACCGGACCTCCCAGAGGGAAAATGACAAAAAAAATAAAACAAAAAAACACACTCCTGGCCGCTGCCCTCAAAAGACCTGACCCAGCCAAGAAACCTGGCCCACCACGGGAAGGAGGACCCAGGAGATGAGGGACCCTGAAGCCTGACCAGTGCACCTATTGTAAAGAGTTTAGTCACTGGAAACATAAATGCCCCAACAAAAGAAAGCACCCACCGCCAAACAGGAAACTGCCCAGGGGCTTCCAGCAGGAGCTAGAGACCCAGGACCTCATCGGTCTCACTGGGGTCGACTTGAAATAGGACGGACCGGATTCCCTGACTCTTGGTCTCCGGGAGCCCATGGTCATAATAAAAGTGGGGGGCCAACCAATAACGTTCATGGTAGACACTGAGACAAAACACTCAGTGGTAACAACCCTGGTGGCTCCACTTACAAAACAAAAAACCACTATTACGGGAGCCACTGAAACTCAAATAGTTCAATCCTTCTGCCAATCCCAAATATGCCAGATGAGGGGCCACCAGATAAGACATAAATTCCTATACATACCGGACTGCCCCATTCCCCTCCTAGGTCGAGATCTGAGCAAACTAGAAGCCCAGATCATCTTCCACCCAAAATTGACCATGAGCCTCATGCTCGGTGCCCCAGAGACTCTCATAATGACAGTCACCCTGCCCCGAGAATCGGAATGAAAACTATACAACAAGACCAAAGAAAAAACCCACCTGAATTCCAGCAGGATTTTCAGTTGGTCTGGGCAGAAGACAACCCCCCACCACCATGGTCTTACACACCAGCATACACTCCTGGTGATCAAAATGAAACCAAGAGCTCAACTGACCAGGAGATGACAGTACCCCATCCCCAAGGAGGCTCTAGAAAAAATTCAGAAACACATCAACAGACTTAAGCGGGAGGAGATTTTGGTGAAGTGCCAATCCCCATGAAACACACCCCTCCTGCCAGTCAAAAAGCCCAACGGAAGTGGATACGAACCGGTCCAAGATCTGCGACTAATTAATGAGACTACAGTGACTCTCCACCCAGTGGTACCAAATCCATACATCCTCCTAGGCCTCATTCCTCCTGATGTTACCTGGTTCTCCTTCCTAGACTTAAAGGATGCCTTCTTCTACATGCGGCTCACTCGGAAGAGCCAGCCCCTCTTCGCCTTCAAGTGGGAAGATCCTCAGACTAGAAGAAAAACCCAGCTGACCTGGACGCTACTACCACAGGAATTTAAAAATTCACCAACTCTATTCAGGGAGGCTCTGGCCACTGACCTTGTCTCCTTTCCACGAGAAGAAACCCACTGCACACTTCTACAGTATGTCGATGACCTCCTTCTAGCAAGTCCCACCAGAGGAGGCTGCCGCGGGGGAACCCGGTGCCTGCTCCAATTGCTCACAAGAGATACAAAACTGAAAAAAAACACAGATCTACAGACAACAGATAAAGTACCTCAGTTTCCACATCACTCAGAGATGCCGGACACTGGGACATGAGCAAAAACACACCATCTATACAATTCCCAGGCCGACCAGTTGGAGACAACTCAGAAAATTCCTTGGCACAGCCAGATTCTGCTGCATCTAAATCCCAAGTTTCTCCCTAAAGGCTAAGCCTTTGTACGAGGCCCTACGCGGGCCTGAAAACAAAAAATTAAAATGGGCCGAGAGTCAGGAAAAAACTTTCCAGAAAATAAAAGACTTACTAAAAGGTGCCCCCACACTAAGACTACCGGACCTCATCAAAAACTTTAACCTGTTTATACATAAAAAAAAAAGTGACTCTGGGGATTTTGACTCAAACTGTGGGCCCATAGCAGAGACCAGTGGCTTACTTGTCAAAGCAATTAAATCTGGTACCAGCAGGGTGGCTGCCTTGCCTCCACGCACACTGGCGGCCACCATCCTACTAGTCAAAAAAACAAACAAACTAGGTGTCCAGATTTCTGGCCAGCCCTGGCATATTTTCCTCCAGTATTCCATGAAATAAGTTTTCCAGCCCTTGAGTATCTTCTTCTTCTCTCTCTGGAAGACCGATGATCTTAAGGTTCTGTTTCTTTACATAATCCCACATTTCTTGAAAGTTTTGGTCTTGTCTCTTGCTTCTGAGTTCTTTTTCTTCATCTGATTTGTTCAGCACATAGACATTATCTTCAAGCTCTGAGATTCTTTCCCGAGAGCTAAAAATAGAAATACCATTCGATCCAGCAATAGCACTATTAGGCATCTACCCAAAAGAGCACAAAACATTTTACGATAAAGACATCTGCACCCGAATGTTTATGGCAGCACAATTCACTATTGCAAGAATGTGGAAACAACCCAAGTGCCCGTCAATCCATGAGTGGATTATCAAAATTTGGTATATGTTTACAATGGAATATTACTCAATCATAAGAAACGACAGTGATCTAGCACTTCTTATACTTTCCTGGATTAAATTTAAGCCCATTATCCAAAGTGAGGCACCACAAGAGCAAAAGAACGGGATCCACTTGTACTCGCCATCAAATTGGTACTAACTGATCAACACTAGGTTGATCACGTGGCAGAAATACTCTCTAGGGATTAGGGGGATGGGGGGGCAAATCTACAACTAAAGGACACG